AGCTAAATGCTACAGCATTTGGACGTACATAGTAAGAAAAAAAATTTGGCTTGAATTTTTAAGAGGTTATAACTAGTAAGCAGTAGAGGTTAAGTATGAACATAGGATGATGATCAAAAGTTAGGGTCGTCAGAGATTTGATCTGAGAAAAATTATGTATGCAGAAATTGATGTGCAATCATCCCGATTACCGGCCCAATCGGCATCCGAGTAGGCCGTTAGTTGAAGGGGAGATGACCTTTGAAGCAACAAGCCATGAGAAATGATATTTTTGAGATAACATAGTAAGTGCTTTGTAGTTGTCCAATGTGATTGGGTAGGAGCATGCATAAATTGAGCGAGTTTGTTTATGGTGTATGCAATATCCGGTCGTGTTAGAGACAAATATTGCATGCCACCGATGAGACTTCGGTATTGAGTGGCATCAGTAGAAGCTGAACCATCATTGAGAACAAGTGGGGTAGATGTGTGTTAGGAACCTAATATTTAGAAATCTTTTTCAATAGATTTTTAGGAGAGTATAAATAGGAGGTTTAGTTGCTAGGGAGGCGGGAATCAGATTTGTAGAGAGTGTCTAGTTATGTGCACTATTTTGAAGGTTGGGGGTCCTCAAAACCGTCCATCTATCTTGTAATTTTCTATTTCTAGTATTGTTAATGAAGCATAGATTTTTAGGATCCTAACAATGGTATCAGAGCATCTTCGATCCACGGAGCTCTTTGAGTTGAGAGAGAAACTTCGGGCTGCTCTAAGAGCTAATCACAAGGTTTCTGGAGGGAGTATAGGGGAACTCTGGGACCATGTGGGAAAGATTCGGATCTAGATGGGTGACATGCAGGCGGCGCTGCGGAGGATGGAGGTACTGCTGGCGCGGCCAATGGCTGGGGAGGCTGAGTTGGGTCGCGACGGTGAACGACGGGGCGGGGAAAGGCGAGATCGCGTGCCTCGGGGTGAGGAGAGCCCAGATCGCGTCGACCTAGGTGGAGTAAAGGTGCCAAATCGGGCGGATCTTCACCGGGAAGCGCCGATTGATGAAGATCGAGGCCGCGAGAGGGAGTTTCGACGCCGGAGAGACATGGGTCTCATGGAGGAGCGCGAGATCCATCGCGATCTGGGGCTAGGTGGTCCGGATCTACAGGGCGAGGGTTTGTTTGACGACGGGAGGAGGGCAGAAGGAGGTCGCGGCCGTCGGGAGAGGGTGACGGAGCTTGGTCGGCGACGGGAAGTGGAGTGGGAGCTGGAGTTAGAGGAAGAGAGGCTTGCTCCGAGGCTGGGATGGCATGGGCACCCTTGGAACAGGGAACCCAGCCCTGATTCGGTCACGGTTGGGGCTGATTCTGGCCCAGTTTAGACCAGGCCTCGCGATTCCGGCATGGAAAGGGCTGGTTTCGGTGCTACGGAGACAGATTCCGGCGCGGCGGAGGCTGGGCTCGACGCTTTGGCTGCTGTTTGGACCGGGCCTCACAATTTCAGCGTGAAAGAGGCTGGTTCCGGTGCTACGGAGGAAGATTCCGGCCGAATTGGAGTGGGGTCCATGAATTTCGACGCCCTTAAGGTTGGGTTTTATGATTTTGACGCCATTGGAGCTAGCTCTGGCGAGATGATGGCTAGGACGGGGAATTCTGATGTGAAATCTGGCGATCTTGGGGCTGAATCCTGAAATTTTGTTCAGAAGTGGGTTGGGTCTAGTGTTTTCGATATGGACAGAGTCAATTTTGGGGTTGGGCCTCGTAATTACAATATTAGTAGGCCTAATTCTGTTGTAATGGTAGTCGAGCCTCAAAACTTTAACATGTTTGGGGCTGGGAATGGTACGATTGCAGATGGGAATAAAGAAATTGGTGAGAGTGAGGCTGAAAGGTTGATGTCCTAGTTGGCTAAGAAGGAAACTCCCTTAGTGAGGATCGATTTGCCAATATTTTTTGTGACCATTGATGAGCTTGCGCAGAGAGTTTCAAATGAATTGATAGATTTTATGGTTGTTTTCCAAGATACAAAGAAGATGGAGAAGAAAGTAATTGATTGACTCCAATTTGAAGATATGACTTACGAGGATAACATTAATTTGGGGACTCAAATCAAGGAGCTAACAAAGCCTTTTATTCTTAATCATTTAGATGTTATTTTTCAATTTTATTTCTTGATTTTCACCTTGAGGACAAGGTGATTCTTTGGGGCGGAGGTAATGTTAGGAACCTAATATTTAGAAATCTTTTTCAATAGATTTTCAGGAGAGTATAAATAGGAGGTTTAGTTGCTAGGGAGGGGGGAATCAGATTTATTGAGAGTGTCTAGTGCTGTGCACTATTTTGAAGATCGGGGGTTTAATAACGCCCAAAAGTGATATTCACAAGCGGTCAATTGTAGCACAGAAGGGCGGTCGTATCCACAGAGATATAACAAAATAACAAGAATGATTAACAGAATAAGAGCGTTAGAGAAAAGTGAATTAAAGAAAAATAAGAGTTTTTGAGATTTTTTTGTTGCAAATAAAATAAAAAGGAGAAAATATGTATGAAGAAAACGGTAAGGTGTCGAGAATCCCTAATGTTTCGTTCACCAATTCAAGTTTTGATTCACAAAATTGAATAATCGAATAAATTAAATCTCTATGTTGGCTCAAAAAATATTATTGTTACAAGTTATCTAAAATCGACAATATATCAATCTGACAATATTGCAGTAATAGACAATTTGTAAAATAATTTGAATAACAAAACATTGCATGACAGAATTACATAAGAAAAGCGTGACTGAACTTATATAAAAATTGGCACACAATATTTTGAAAAGTAATAGAAAAATAGATGAGATTTAATTCATTCAGATGTTGGAGTTTACAGAATAAGGAATCAAAACCCCGAATTGGGTCACTCAACAGAAGTTCATCTCTAACCTCACCAAGAAAACTCTAGCCTATCTTGCAAAACATTCTCAAAAGTTCTAGAGAGAAAATATGAGACTGACAGCAAGACGACAGAAAACTGAATATTCAAAGCTTCTCAAGACCTTAAGCTAACCCCTTTATTTATAGTGTTCAGAGGTTGCCTGTCAAATAAGAAAATAAATAGTAAAACTAGAAAATTATAAAAGAAAAGGAAATCAAATAAAATTACACATAAATTAGGAGAAATCATATATTTGATTTGGGGAAGAAATCTGATAATTTGAGGAGAAGAAATCCGGATTCAGCACATCATCTGGACACATGTCAAAGCTTGGTTAGAGGCAGGGAATTGAGCCGCCACGTGTCGCGCTCGGAGTGGCTGGCGTGTGCTGGCAGAAGGCTGTCGCGGGGATAGCTGGGACCCGCATTGGACAAGTGTCGTGTGCAGAGTGAGCGGCAGGTTTGGCGTGAGCAGACGCGGGACCCATGCGAGGAAAGCCTTGGAACGCGCTGGAGAACGCGCGTGCATGGGACGAGCTCCCTGAGGTGCCACGTACGGTTGACGCGCGAGGCGCGCGATGGCGAGAGAAATGGGCGCGGATTTCCGCGCTGACTGTGCAGTGGCTTGGCTCGGTGGCTTTGACTCGGCTTAGCTGAACGGCTTAGCTCTGTGTTGCTGAAAATATGGCTTTCATGGCTTAATTTAGTGTAGCTTTTTATACTACTTTTTATCTGTAAATAATTAAGCAAAAACTAGACAAATTCCAATTAAAAATATTATGAATAAAAATAATAGAATATCTTAATTAAAGCTTAAATATTTTAATATTATATAAATCAAAAGCATTATTTAGGGTGCATTTTCATACACTGATCACAACCCCCAACCAACTTATTGCTAGTCTCTAGCAATCCAAGCGCAAGAGAAATCATGTCACAAAGAAAATCTAAGTCTCAACTCGCTTAGTCACCTGAGTATTTCAAACAAACTGTCAGGAAGAAGTCAAAAGATACTGTCAAGGTTATTTCAGTCATAACTCCAGAGTCGTGTGTGTGTGCTTCAAACCATAACCTTCTTACCACTGACCATAACACATGCAGCTTTGAAAAATTCACCAAGTAGAAGCCTCAACCCCATTGATCTCACGGGTGTCAGAAATATTTGAGTGCAAAAGTTTTCTCTCATGGAGTTGGAAATGAAACAATCAACGCTCAGTGTGAGGAAGGTCAAATTTAGGATAAACAGTCAAATGAACATTGACCAAAAGATAGGTTTAATCAACTACTAGAACATTCCACCATTCTTACCACAACCAACTTTTGGGATTTCACTCAAGTCAAACAGAAATTTACAGAGATGATCAAAGAGCCAAAAAAAAAAAATGCATAGGAAAATAATTACTTTTTTTTTTTGTTTTTTTTTTTTTTTTTTTTGAGTGATTAACACCAAACTACAAGATCTGTGAAATGTTGCTCTTGCTGAGTCTTTTTTTTATTTTTTTAAAGAAAAATAAGAAATGAGGCTCTATTACATAAGATCATTCCTATCTAACCCAAAATCCATCCCTCAAGCATATGCACCAAGCATACCACTAACCATGTAATGATGTTCTAATAGTGATTTTACCAGCTCAAAAGATCAATGAAAGTTCAAAAGTCGTTTTCTCTACTCTATTGACTCACCAAAAATCAAGCACTTAAACTCAAGAATTTTCTCAGCTGACATGCATTAACATCCATCTTACCACAAGGTTTAGCACGTGCAAAAAGAAACTCTGGAAGTCATTTCTTAGTAACCAAGACAGTGAAAATCGACTCAAACCAGACATTTTGAAATCATACTCAGACAACTTTGCAAAAATTTTAACCCAAATATCAACGTGACAAAAATCACTCTTACGCATGAATATGCTCACCACTCCCAACCAAAATCAAACAGTGTCCTCAGTGTCAAAAATTATGAAAAATAGAGAAAGAAGACACCTGGACGATGAGCTTTCCACTTATGAGCACAGCCTAAGCATCCTGATATGATTCTCCAAAAATACACATAAAAAAATGCAAAGAAAAACAAAAAAATCAAAATATGGTATAGAAGATGTGAGCAAACTACTCAGGGCTGGTAAACGGAGTCGTCGAGAATGATCTCTTCTACCTGGTTCACCCGCTCTAAGTAATTCTTCCTCAGGCTCTGCTTGTCATGAGCCACTTTCATTTTTACCTTGATCCTGGAATTACGCTCTTTTAGCATGTCAATCAATCGTTGTTCTTGCAATGCATCGAGTTTAGACGAGATGATGACTGGGAATGTGCCTTCATTTCCCAAGAACGCATATTTTAAGCCCTCAGGTGGTTGGGCTAGCTTGACTTTTAGAGCCTCCTTGGTGGATGATTTCGGTTTTTCTCCTTCTGTTGGGAGCTCCTGAAAACATGGTGACCCAAACTTGGTTCCTCTGTCCTGTGAGTTGCTGAAAATTGCAGACAAGTGAGCCAACTCAGCAGAACCAGAATTTTTAGAATCAAAATTTTAGAGGAGATTTTCCAGATCTTCAGAGTTGCTTTGCGGCAGAACCCCCTCCTCGACAAGTGTGTTGATCATAAATGTTTGGTGACACTCGTCATCATCACGTGGTTGCTGTTGAATATGAAAAATATTCACCTCAAGGGTCATATTCCCAAAAGATATCTTCATGAGACCATTCCTACAATTGATAAGTGCGTTTGCTGTGGCAAGGAAGGGTCTTCCTAGAATGATGGGAATGGATGACTCCATATTCACCACGGATTGTGTATCCGAGACAAGAAAGTCCACGGGGTAATAAAACTTGTCGACTTGCAACAAAACATCTTCCACTATTCCCCGTGGTCTCTTAATGGATCTATCGGCCAGTTGCAGAATCACAGTTGTGGGCTTAATCTCTCCAAGACCCAATTGCGAGTAGATCGAATAAGGCATGAGGTTCACGCTCGATCCTAGGTCTAGTAACGCTTGGCCGAATTCATGTGTCCCGATCTGGCAAGAAATGGTAGGACAACCTGGATCCTTATACTTCGGCGGTGTTTTCTGCTCAATCACCGCGCTCATTTGTTTCGTCAAGAATGCAGTCTTCTTGACGTGGTGCTTTCTCTTTATGGTGCACAGATCCTTGATAACCTTGGCGTAGGCTGGCACTTGCTTGATCACGTGTAGTAAGGAAAGATTGATCTTCAATTGTGTCAAGTGCTCCTTTCTTACTTTGATTTTCCGGCACTTTCCCAGCAGGTCGGAGAGCTTGGGGAAAAGGCACCTTCACCGGAATTTTAGTTGTCTATTCTTTCTCCTGAGCCGATTCTTCATTACTCGAAGTGGTACTACTTGTCGATGGCATGTCCGAATTCTTACCACTTCGAGTAGAGATGGCGTTAACTTCCTTGATGTTTTGACCTTCAAAGTTGGAAGTTTGAGCAATGTTTTGTCCTCTCATATTGGACTGGGCTTGTGATGGAAATCTACCGCGCTCTTGAACGGTTAAAGCTTCTGTCAGCTTTGTGATCTAACTTTTTATTTTCTTGTTCTCTTCCACCAGCTGCGTGAGCATTAAATCAACTCTTTAATTCGTCTTATTTTGCGTGTCCATAAAAGCTTTTAGGGTATCCTCTAGAGAATTCCCTTTCGGCTGCACGTTATTCTGAGGCGCAAAATATGTCCTTGGTGGTTGAGATTGTTGCTCTGATCTCTATTGCCCTCCAGATGATTGTGCATGTTGATTCGAATCTTGCCAACTGAAATTCGGGTGGATTTTACAACCAGGATTATAAGTCTCCGAGAAAGGTGTATATGGTTTTCCGTATACGCCCAAAGCGTTGCACTACTCCTCGTATACCCCTCTCATTTCACTTAAAGTGTGGCAATCCTGAGCTAGATGGCCCATTCCACCACAAACTAAACAAGGCTCATGTGCCTCTGTCCTTGCCACCATGTTGGGTCCTTTACTATCTTTACTTTTGAGGGCCTCAATTTGCTTCGTCAAAGCTTCAACTTGGGCCTTGAGGCTGTCCTCTTCCCTTAATTGATAAACTCCAACTGGTCGGGACCTACTGGTGCTCTCAGTAGCACTCGGTCCAGTCCAAGTATGAGCTTTCTCAGCTAACTCATTCAGGTACTCGATAGCTTCGTCAGGATCCTTTTGGAGAAAATCCCCATTGCACATCATCTCGACAAATTGGCGCTCTCGGATTGTGAGTCCATCGTAGAAATAGCTTACGAGGTGCCAACTTTCATATCCATGGTGGGGACACAGATTTAACAGATCTTTAAAACGCTCCCAAGCTTGATAGAGAGTTTCGTTTTCCTTCTGAGCGAAATTCAAGATCTGTCGTTTCAAATTGTTGGTCTTATGGTGTGGGAAATACTTGTTTAAGAATGTCGTCGTCATTTCTTCCCACGTACCAATAGACCTGGGCCTAAGAGAATATAGCTAGCTTTTGGCCTTATCCTTCAGAGAGAAAGGGAAAAACTTCAATCTGATAGTGTTTGCGGCCTCAGCACGGCTGTGAAAGGTGGCCACCACCTCTTCAAACTCCCGGATGTGTACATAGGGGTTCTCGTTCTCTAATCCGTGAAAGGTTGGGAGAAGTGCAATCATGCCCGGCTTGAAATCCGTAGGCGGTGCATTTGGTGGGAACATGATGCAAGATGGGGTGGCCGTGCGCGTTGGGTGCAAGTAATCTTACAACGTCCTCTGCTGAACTTCCTCGTGTTGTGCCATTGTGAATAGATTTTAAAATGCGAATTCCAATGACGAGTACGAAGACGGAGACGTAGAAGATGAGTCGGATAGAATTTCACTAGGGGTTTCTAAATCTGGTCGTTGAGCGAATCTCCCTAGCTCGTCTCTATACCGATGCATTCACCCTAAGCGGCTCTTTTTTTATTTTTATTTTTAATTTTTTTGTTTTTTTGTTTTTGTTTTTTTATTTTTAATCAAAGGAAAAGAAAATAATTATATAGTAACGTAAATTGTAACCACCGAGAGTGCTCCCAGGAAAGACTATAGCTCTTGGCTCAATGAATAGTCTC